TGGAATGTGTATGTTGATGGGTCTTCTAATGCAAAGGGAAGCGAAGCCGGGGTAATTATTGAAAACCCTGATGGCGTTGCAATTGAGTACTCTATGCAAATGGACTTCAAAACTTCCAACAACCAGGCTGAGTATGAGGCCCTCATAGCTGGACTGCTGCAAGCACAAGAGCTCGGAGCTCGAGGTTTACAGTGATTCCCAGTTGGTCACCTCACAAATTGAAGGAAGTTACCAGGTCAAAGGACCCCTACTGGCCAAGTATCTTGAACATGCAAGACGGATAATGGCAGACTTCGAAAAGGCAGAGGTTAGTCACATTCCAAGAAGTGAGAACAGCAGAGCGGACATACTGTCCAAGATGGCGAGCACAAAGGGGTGGGGAAACCACCGAACCGTGATTGAGCAAAGTATCCCAGAACCGACATGCATCATACAGATTTCCCAGGTGAATGATTGGCGTACTCCCATTATTGAGTACGTCGAAAATGGAACGTTGCCTGTTGAGAGAGTAGAGGCCAAGAAGCTAATCCGAGATACAACGTCATACACCATAATAGAGGGACAACTTTATAACAAAGGTATTTCCACCCTCTATTAAAGTGTCTGAACTCGGATAGGGCCCAGTATGTTTTAGCGGAAATCCATGAGGGAATCAATGGGCAACATGTTGGGGGAAAGGCGTTAGCCCGGAAGGCTCTTCGAGCTGGATACTTTTGGCCGTCCATGGTCTACGATGTGAAGGACCACGTACAGAAGTGCGATCAGTGTCAGAAGCACGACAGGAACTTGCTGGCTCCCCCTGAGGAGTTGAATATAATCACGGCTCCCTGGCCGTTTTACAAATAGGGAATGGACCTCTTGGGTCCATTCGCAGCAGCTGAAGGCCAGCTTAAATGGTTAGTGGTGGCAGTTGACTATTTCACTAAGTGGATTGAAGCGGAGCCAGTCGCGACCATCACTTCGGCCCGGATTCAGCGATTTCTGGAGAGGAACATAGTATGTCGGTTTAAGATTCCGGCCGAAGTGGTAACCGATAACGGGACTCAATTTGCAAGTAAAAGGTTTCAGAACCTGATGGAGAATTTCCATATCCGGCATCGCTTTGCCTCGGTTGAACACCCTTAAACAAATGGCCAAGCAGAGGCTGCAAACAAAGTCATCGTGGAAGGTCTTCGAAGGCGTATAGAGCAATCCGCCAAAGGAAGGTGGGTTGAGGAATTATATTATGTCTTGTGGGGGTACAGAACCACAATTCAGACTTCTGTTGGAGAATCCCCATTCAAGCTAACCTACGGGTGCGATGCTATGATCCCGGTAGAATTGGGAGAACCATCTTGGAGAAGGGTTCAAGCCTTGTCGCAAGCAGAAGAAGTGAACAACAGCAAAATAGCCATAGAACTGGATCTGATAGACGAAGGTCGGGACATGGCATATTGCAGAAATGTTAGCGCTAAGCAGCTCGTGGGTAATAGGTTCAATAAGAAGGTGAAGCCCAGGATGTTTGAGACAAAGGACTTGGTGCTCCGAAGAGCAGATGTCGGAGGACGAAACACAGCTGATGGGAAGTTGGCTCCAAGATGGGAAGGCCCGTTCAGAGTAAAAGAAAAACTTTCAAGAGGAGCCTACGTTTTGGAAACTCTGCAGGGGAAGCGCCTGGCAAGAACATGGAATGCGGATAAGCTGAAAAATATTACAGTTGAAGGAAACCTCAATGCCTTTCTTTCGTCTTTTCTTTTATTGTATTACGTAATTTGAATTATGAATAAATTTGAACAATTATGTTTCCTCTTACAATTGCGAATACATTATGAAGCGGCAGGACTAAAGTGTTTCTGCCATAGAAGATAAATTCGGGGTATTTGAACCTAACCTGCCAAAACGGCAGGGTTGAGAGTTCTAGCCTTGCAAGGGAATCCGGGGTATTTGAACTCGTCCAGCCCAACGGGTGGGATAGAGCGTTCTAGCCCCGTAAGGGAATCCGGAGGAATTGAACTCGTCCTGCCCAAAGGGTGGGATTGAGTGTTCTAGCCACGGAAATAGACACGAGGTATTTGAACCCGTCCAGCCCAAAGGCAGGATAGAGTGTTCTAGCCCCGTAAGAAAATCTGTCGGATTTGAACCTATCTCACCCAAAGGGTGGAATTGAGCGTTCTAGCCGCGGTAACAAACTCGAGGTATTTGAACCTGCCTTGCCTCAAGCGCAGGTTAGTGTTCTAGCCCCGCAGCTCGGGACGAGGTATTTGAACTCGTTCTCCCAAGAAGGGATCAAAGGTGAAAGAAGGAAACAATATATAAAGAGTAGAGATACACCAAAACAGTATGTCCGAATTTACCAAATATCATCAAGAATCAAAAACAGCGACCAACATGCGGCCCAGAATTCGTAAATGTTAATTCGAAAATCATGATTACAAAATACCCCGACATTCCGGGTCTTCAAGGTTGATCCGGGATGTGGGGAAAAATTTCCCTCATTTTTTGTTCGAATTGCTGTGCGGCGGCTTCCATCACCGGATTCCCGGAGGGAGGTGCATCGTTGGTGGCTTCGGTCTCCGTAGCTGAAGGGAAGAACGTGTCGCCCAAGACATATCCAAAGCAATCCAGTCGGTCCGTGTTCAGGGTCGCGTCTGGATTGAAGTGCTTGATCTGATTGACGACATTGTTGAACGCAGTTTCAGCAGCGTTCTCCAACACGGATTGACTATTGTCATAATCAGCTTGCAAATTCCTGACATCAGTCTCCAACTTCTGAACCTGCTGATTCAAAGCAGTGTTGTTCCTCTCCAACTTGGATAGTGACGACAGTTTTCCCTTGACAAAGTTTATGATGGCCTCCTTATTTACCTCGAGGCCGAAGGAGTCCGAAATAAGCTTCATGTCAGCCTGGTATTGCTCCAAAGACGCCACTGAAGCAGCAGCGGATATGGTCAAGTTCTTATTATCCTCAACCAGCTTGTCGCGCTCAGCCCGGAGGGTATCCCTGTCAGTTTGGAGGGCATCCTTTTCAGCACGAAGCTCGGAATGCTTCTCCAGCAGAACCGAGTACGGTTTCACCAAAGAAGCCGCTTTGTAAGTGTACAGTTCGGCCATCTCCAGCTCTTTCACTTCGGCCCTTGACAAAATGCCGGTCCCGTAAAATTCTGGCGGGGGACGAGTCACTCCACGCAATTCTGTAGCCACTCCAGTTGCCCATAGAGCGCCTCTCCTGAGCCCGGCAGGAAGGGGTGAGGGAGCCGGACTACCATGCTTCGTAGATGTCACAGCCCCGGCAACCCCAGCTGACCCTGCGGGGGCGGATGTTTGGTAATTCCCAATATCCAGCCAGCTGTCCTCACTGGTTAAATCCATCACGGAGACGTCGGTTGTCGCTAGAGGAACATTGCTCGTTCCAGCAGGAGGACTAGTGGTCCCTGGTTGCTTTAGGGCATAGGATTGAGTCCGAGCAGAAGACTTCCCTCGCCGGGCTAGAACGTAGTCCGGAACCTTGTCCGCGGAAGGATTCATTTCGGAACCTGCATACAGGAAAACGCAAGCCGGGGTTAGTAAGCAACACATACCTAGAATGCAAAATATGAACATGTACGTGTAAATCCATACTAGTTTGGGGAATGTCGGTTGTAGACTTTGCCACTAAGGAGGCAGCGCTCAGATGCCCTTGAGCCCCGATGTGAGCCAGCAAAGTCTTGGCATGTGTCTTTTCCTCTGCTGACAACCCCAGCCGGTAGTCTGCCGGCTTCCGCAAGTGGTGATCATATGACCAGTACAAGGGGAATCTCCCTTCCCCATTCTTGTGGAGAAACCATGGCTTGGCACCGACCTCGGCAACGACTTTAAAAAATGCACCTTTAAAGTCCTTAAAGGAGTCACTGTATACTGAAAACAATCTTCTAGAAGTCGGCTTCTTTCCTCCACGACCCCGGATGCTGGTCCACCCCTCGAGCTCAGCAGGTTCAGACCCGGTTCGGGGGGTGTATATGTTAAAAAAATACAAAGAAAAGGGCGCGGTGCTTAATACAGACAACGAGGTGCATAATTGTTCGAAGGCAACAATATAAGCCCAACCAATGGGATGAATTTGTGTGGGGGCAAGGTGAAGGTGATTCAGTAGTTGAATTTTGAAAGCGGAAAAAGGAAAGCGAATACCAATTTTGGTGATTAAGTCGCGATAACAGAAGAAAAACGGAGGTTCTTCGAGATTCCGGCCCGAGCAGACGGGTTCGTCTTCGGCAGGGCAGAAAGTATCAAATCCCACTGGGTTGCCTATGGGAAGCCCGGATATCTCCTCAGTCGTCATGTATGACCGGAAGCTAAGCACCTCCTCGGTCACCCAGGGAAACTGCTTACGAAGAGTTGTATCAACGGCAAAAGAGCCTTGTTCGGCAGGGCTGGCGTCAGCTTCTCGACCATGACTTGACGAGGTCATTTCAGGGGCAAATTCTGCAGAAGGGGACTCCATCAAAACCTAGAACAGCAAAATGGGGGGATTAAAAACAGAAACAGTACGTGACAAAAAGTATACGTACCTGAGCTAAACAAACTATCGTGGGAAGAGTCGGACAAATCATCAGAAGAAGACAAGGAAGCAGAGGCAGGATCTGATAAGCCGGGATAATGGGTGCAACTTCCTAGCACCACATCGGCCATAAAGTCGTTCCCTCTCTCAATAAATCGGCTGCTAAGATAGACACAGTTAAAACACGGATCTATGTTCTTAGCACCTGGGATAATGGTTTCGGATTGAACAGGAACTTGAACCCGGGTGAGGCTTGAAGCCGGTTTAGAAGCCGAATTGGCGGAACCTAAGCCTCTACCTAGATTTGGGTTGGAACTTCGGGATGGAACAACCGGGATACAGCCAGATCGTTGGCGACGTCCTCGTGTGGGAGGACGGGATGAAGAAATTCCTCCGCTTCTACTGCCGCAATAGCTCCTAAGTAGGGCGGCTTGCGTTTCGTCCTGGGTCCGAGGTATACCATACAACCAAAACCTCGCGCCAGGGGGGAGGCTCTGGACATATCTCTCCTCCTCCCGTGTGGCTTGTTCTTCCTCCTCCAGTAGAATCTCATCACTACGGCCAAAAACACGAGGGCAGGTGGACGTCCCTCTACCGTGCAAATTCCCCCCGTTCATGCTATTAAGGGGAGAGCAAGGCATAAACAGGTGGACAAGGTAATAAAGTGACAACAGGCAACCCACAGCCAAGTACCCAAGGGAGAACATTGCATTAACAGGCAAAGTATTCTAAAGGGTGTATGCCTAAGTACACATAGCTAAAACAAGAATACCCAGAGACAGAAAATGCGCCTTTGTCGAACATACATTCGAGCAAAAGGAGAATCAAAGCAAGAGAGGAAGAAAAACAAAGTAGGTTGAAGCGCATACTTGGTGCAAGTGAAGGATGCGAGAGGTGGCAAACGACGAGAAGCTGGTAAACTGAAGGAAGTCTTTTGGAACGTAATACAGGAAATGTTGAAGGAAGTCTCTCAGCATAATGCAGCAAGTAAGAAAATAAGAAAGGAAGAAGCGCAAATCAAATAGAAGAAACCCGCGAAACCAAAGGTCAAGGGTAAAAGGGTAACTTCGCAAGGAAAGACAGTTGAAAGGACGCTGGGGCAGTTGCAATAAATGCCAGCAGCTCGAGCAGGCGTAGTGGCACACGTCGCGCAGATATGAGAGGGCCACATGGAGGGTTGTAATGATTGCCTGCAAAAGGAAGATTCGCTGCGGTAGAAAGGAAATCGGCAAGGCACCTTTCACCCCGGCATCCTGAAGGCTCTGTCTACTCGGCATGACACCCCGACATCCTGAAGGCTTAGCATATCGGGATGGGGGGCAACTGTTATGGA